ATGAATCCGATGCCGACTCGCTATCTTCAGAAAACTTACACTCCAGAAGACATCAAGCAGCAACACTTCCGCTAGCGCCTCCTCCGACCCCGCTGAACAATCTTCAGCAACCTACGGATGAAGCTACACAGCAAGTCTCATCTAAATATATCACGACGCTTCAATACTAAGTAAGCTCGATCTTCCTACCTTCAAAGGCAATCTAGTTGAGTTCCCTGAGTACTGGGCACGCTTTCCTACCCTTGTTGGTAACTACCAAAACGAATCCATAGGACTGACGCTTCGTATTGATGGAGTACATCATCTCTGCAACAAAAAGATCGAATATTTTACGCGCGACCATGAATTCCAGACCGAATCCTCACATAGATGTTACTGGGCTGGAAGCTGCAAGAAGGGAGTGTGCGACAACACGAAGACATCGGACAAAATCGAAGAATTCAGCCATAAAGCCAACCACCATCCAGGATTCACCTTGTGCACACCAAGCTGTCAATGCTGCGACGGCTGTTTTCTGTGTACACCTTCTTGCCTCTTCTACAGGTACTTTGCAGTACCCACATCCGAAACCATCTACACAGTATTCAGATGTCCCAACTGGAAGCTTACTGTTTCAGTCGAAATGACATTGCCAAGCCAAGAAGACATACGAACACATCCCGTCATTCTACATCCTGGGAAAACAGTAGCCATCGATGACATCAAGCTTTCACTCATAGACACTACAACACCACAGCTGCCCATATTATCTTCCATATTCATTGAGGACGGAGAAACAATAGCGCAGGTAATGCAAACACAAGCAAATCAACTTATACCACAAACTCCTGCACAGCTGCAATGCCCATCATTCGATAATTCCAAAAGATTCAAATGCCGTTTTGCACCAAGTATCTGCACATATTCCAGTGGAACCTCAAAAACCAGCTGCATCTGCGCCGAAGGGAGTATAGCACCATACACGCATCAGAACACACTGCCTCTGGTCATAAAACCAAAGAAAGTCGACAAAACTCTTCAGGCGCAAACGCACATCGGCTCTTCACTCCAAGTTCAAATAACTTTGAACCACTTCAAGCTCACAACTACTCACACAATGGACAAGTGTGAAATTACATCGTCTACAATTCACGGATGTTACTCGTGCATGATTGTTGCCAGGATAGACCTAAAATGCCATAGCAGTGAGACAGACACAACAGTGGATATCTTGTGTGCTGAACTCCAAATAGCATCCTGTTCCAGACAAAAAAATATAAACACTCTCACATTCCATTTCGACCACTCTAAAATTTTTATCAACTGCACAGTCGTCTGCTCTGGAGGGAATTCCACATTTGTACTACAGGGAGTCTTCGACTACGTCAATGACAAACAACTACAAATGGAAAAGGATATAGAAGACGAGAAACAGACAAAACAGAGCAAGGTTCTCTAGGACATATACGAAGCAACAAGAAGCTGGATACCAAATCTCTTAGCAAAATTTACTTTCTCAACGTACTTATTTGTCGCTTGCATCATAATTCCTCTCTCGTTCTTTGTAGCCACCACTCTATTTAGAGGGTCATCCGAATACAAGAAGTATCAATAATTTGCCGGGGAGTTTATCTGTGCGATAATTTCGAATTCTTCATAGCAATGAAATGATTGCCTTGACAAATGTCAAGAAATGATTCATATCATTTTGAGGTGCATTTTGTTATGTCTAGTGCCTGAGTCAATTGCGAATTCCTCCTAAATGAAATAATGAATCAACGTTTTTCGCTGATATAAAAGGACTGTCATTTGTTGCTCTTTGAATTTCCCCCAATAAAAAATTCCACTCGTCTCTTCGCAGCATACCACCACCACTATATGGAGAATACATGCACTCAAAATGTTTCAGGTACACCCAACACACTCTCTTACAGACGTGTTTATCTTAACGAAATCAATCCTCGATAATAAGAAGCCGAGAACACACAATAAAAATACTTTGAAAATGGGATGAAGTACCACCTAACCACCATATTGGAGCCCGCTCCTCCCTCTTGTGGTCATCATCGCCGATAAAACTCTCCGGGCAGAAGCCACCAAATAACCACACGAAGTACCCCAAAATCAAAATAATACTCAAAAGAGATCTTGGACGGCGCTTCTTCATGGGTGATGACAGTGAGGATAGCATGCCAGGCGGCTGGTGACTTCGAGGAAGTGGAGTGGCAGGGCGGATGTTGGATGAGAGGTTGACGGAGGGTTGCGCAGTGTGTCGTGGCAGGAACTTAAGGATGTTGCGAAAACGTTGCCGGAAAGACGATGGCGACTCCAGGTCAGATCCTCGGTCACCTCTGCCGTGCGATGCGCTGCAGTTCATCCAACAGTTGTCCTCACGCATGGGCTTGAAGCATTTGAGCAGAGCCCGAGATTGGTAGCGCGGACTGCGCTACACTGATTCGACGAAACGCGTACATATTCCCAAAATGCGCTGATCGCGACTCTCATCAAATGCGCAAAATGCACAGTTCGACTTCGGCTGAATGCGATCCAGCAGCGCTTCACACCACCCAGACGACGTCGACAATTGTGGATGTCATCCAGGCGGGGATGAGAAAGCTATCCAAATTGACAAATCACAGCAGTATAGCTCCCTTTAATTGCGCCAAAAGGTACTCGATCGTTTGATGGTCGACCATTTGGCTAAATACGAAAGCAGAATTTACAAAGTCTTGTGGGAACCTTGCCAAAATTGTTTCGTACCACCTCGGCTCACAAGTTTCTGTCCCTGTGTACCCTACGGAAATCTTTTCGTTGAACAAGTCTTGGACCTGGTCAAGAATGATGAACAGCTGTCACCAGTGACCGTAATCGTCAAAGAACCTAGTGGGTTCCGGAATCCACTGGGTAGGCTTGACCCACGAGAAAGCAGTAAGTTCCGGAACCCAGTACAGTCGAGTAGATTTCCCGCTTAATATAGTGTCCCTGCAGACGCGACAACGCTGGAGCGTCAATAAATGCCTTGCGAGTTCCCGAGTTAGTTTCTTCCAGGTTTTCTTTGCTTGTTTCATGCTTTTTAGTTGATTCGTTGCTGATAAAGAGGAAAAGGGTAAGTTAAAGAGTAGTTTCTGTTTTCCGAAAAGTTCTATCATCGCATATTCACAGATATCCACGTGGAAGCATTTCGCGTCAGCTTCTTGTCTATTTTTTTGTCATTTCCTTTTCTTCTGTCACTTCTTCTTTCAAACCTCCTCCTTCTTGTGAGGAGTTTCTTTGAACGCTAGTTGGCTTGCCTTGCAGCAACTTCGGCTTTCATCCATAAGAAATAGCATTTCAATCAAGTACTTCATGTGATAAAGACAATAAGTCAATCGTAAAAACTCACTAGCGTTCAAAGAAGTACCTCACAAGAAGAAAGAGACATGAAGTGGCAAAAAAATAGACAAGAAGCTGACACGAACTGCTTCCACGTGAATAACTGTGAATATGCGATGATAGAACTTCTCAGAAAACAGAAACTACTCTCTAACTTACCCTTTTCTTCTTTATCAGCAACGAATCACCTAAAAAGCATAGAATAAGTAAAGAAAACACTGGAAAACACTAGCTCGGGAACTCGTCAGGCAATTATTGACGCCTCAGCGTTGTCGCGTCTGCAGGGACACTATATTAAGCAGGAAATCTACTCGACTGTGGGGGTGGTGCAGGAGGAACCAAAAGGCTGCCGCCTGTATCCGCGGGAGATAATTACGAGCGCGAGCGCTATGGAGAATATTTGGCAAGAATCCAAGAAAACTTGGCAAGGACATCCTCTAGAAACAAATCTTCATAATTTTGCCTGGAGATGACTTAGAAAAATTTGAAAAACAGATTTGTAATGCAGATTGGAAGGCGGCGCATTCATTGAGCCCAAAAGCAAGTTATTGGGAATTGTACTGGTAAGAAAGACCATCCTTATAGGAACTTCTTGTTTTCTGAATTTCGAAGTTTCAAATTGTTGAAGACAGGGATTTTCATTCAAAATTTATTTCTTTGGGTAAAGGAATAGTTTGCCTTTTGAGTCAATGAACCAAGGCAATCAACATGTCATAAAGACACATCCAGGCTTGTGTCAAGATGTGATATGCAGTTTGTCTCTAATTAAGCTATTCCAGTTCTAAATTTTGACACTAGAGATTTCATTGGATTTGCTATTGGGAATATCGGTAATCGTTTCGAAGCTGTATACAATAGCAAAAGTTCACCATATGCAACTTAGTTGACATTGTTTTTGCCAGTCCCTACTCTTAACTTCAAATCCAGAAAATTCATTGAAGAAAATCACTTAGGTCTTTCACATAACATTGGACTTGACTTTCCTCAGCTTTGAAAGGTGAATTTTGAAGGCTCAGTTTTTGGTAAAAATAAAACTCGTGTAGCGATACAGGGTTGTCTATCTATCCGTAGGTGTATTACTGAAAAATGCGCATTTCAATACTGATTCTAAATCTGTCCTTCATATTTTTAGAAGTTAACTCCAAGAAGAGTTATAAGGGTTTGTTTCTAATGCATGTCCTCGCCAAATGTTCTTGGATCCTGGCCAAAATCTTACCACAGCGCTCGCGCTCCTAATTGTCTCCTACGGCTACAGGCGGCGTGCCTTTGGTTCCTCCTGCACCGCATCCCTCGACTGTAGGTTAAGTCAGAGAGCCACTTAACCGGTATTCACGAACGAACGCAGCGGGTTTGCGAGCCCAAAAGTCGAGCATATGACCATGACTTAAATCTGATCAAAGAATAATGATGAACAGCTATCACCAGTGACCGTATTCATCAAAGAACCTAGTGGGTTCCGGAACCCAGTGAATTAAGCCGGGAAGCCACTTAACCGGTATTCACGAGCGAACCCAGTGGGTTCGAGAGCCTCTACGTTCCGAGCGCTCTCTAAGCTGTCTCTGACTCCGGCAACCTCGCCAATCCGGCAACCTCGGACACAATTGCGGCAACCATTAACCGTTCTCTATCATACATATTGGCCTCCTCCTATGAAGACCACAGGAATCACAAGATTCACAGAAATCACATCAGTCACAAGGCAATCACATGAACCATTTTATTCGAAGGAAAAGCCGGCAGCTGCCGCTGTGTCAACTTCACTTGGTTGGCGCGTTCGTGGGCTGACACAGTTGTGGTGCTTGCGTCATTTTTAATTTTAGCACGTTTTTTGAGCGGTCAACAAAGCTTGGATGTTTCATTTCTGATTCACTTTTCATCTGGTGGTGCTTCTAATCAAATTTGGAGGTAATTAGCTTGTAATTGCTGCAGCTTGAGGAATAGGTATCTGCGTGCCCTACTTTTTTGTGCACTTTCTTTCGCTAGAAAGTGCACGTGACTGTTGTTATGTCGTTATAAACTGATTATTGAATTTGCGGTGGAATTACATACGAAAAGTAATTACCTTCAGGGTACATCCAAGGAGACGTAGATGGAGGAATACACACGTGAGCCTTGGTAAGCTATTGCTTGTAAATGTTTTGATTTATTGGTTTTATCGTGAATAGTTCGTTTTTTCTTTCAACTCATAACTGCTTGAAATTCCAGCCCTTACCGAATTGGGGATGACTTGGGATCCGCGTTCGCCATGGGCCTTGTCGGTGGCTCAATCTTCCAAGCATTCTCAGGATACAAACATGCAGCTAAGGGTCAAAAACTTGTAAGTAGCACCTTTACATCCTTATCCAGTCGTTTCATTGATGTGTTCAGCTTGGTATGCTTCGAGAAGTTCGAATGCGCAGCACAATTACCGGTGTACAATTTGCTGCATGGGGTGGAATGTTCAGCACCATAGATTGTGGCCTAGTCGCCATTCGGAAAAAGGTTTGCTTATGGCTTTCTCCTCTTACCTTTTTTGGTGCACTATGTCTGGCGTATCTTGTCTCAATCTCATTTTAAGGAAGATCCATTTAACTCAATTGCTTCTGGTGCACTTACTGGGGCATTACTGGCTGTTCGTAGTGGACCCAAAGTAATGGCGGGTTCCGCTATACTTGGCGGGGTGATTCTGGCTATGATCGAGGGTGTCGGTCTAATCACCACACGATGGATGGGTTCGATGGTCGATCCCACTGCTCCTCAAGTAAGTTATATGTTCCAGGACTTTTTTCTTCTTTCTCTACGTACATCCACCGACCAGTTTTTTTTTTGCATATGGTATATTTTTTTGTCTTTTCCTATGTTAATACGGTTACATCCAGAAGAATTTTGGAATGTCGTATCGTAAAAAGGTCATTGTTTTGACTATGAGATCCGTCGCTGTCTTGGTTAGCATTTTTGTAAAATGCTCCTCCATTTTAGACGGAATTTCCATATGGAAATCTAATACGTGATGAATTTTTGCGTTTAGCATGAAGGCTGTAAACTTTCCAGCTTTAAATCTATCAGTCTCCGCTATCTTGAAATCGAGACTGCAGACTGCTAGCTGTATGCTAAGCGAAAGAAAGCTCTCTCTCACCTTGCATTTTTTTGAGTAGAAAAAAAATTGAAATAAAAAAAGGTTGTGACAGCTATCGAAACATTCACAATTGATTGGGCTTTGAAATTTTGAAGACGCACGCAGCATTTTTCTGGAAACATCACTTATTTCTCTCATGTACGTATCTGTCATTGATTGATATTCTTTAAGTGAAGTGTTTAAAATTTACGATAAATTATGTTTTACAGCCCGAAGCGTTGGATGATCCCAGAAATCTACCTCCTCCGAAAAGTCATGCAGAGCCGGGTCTGCAGGACAAGCACACAATGCCTTTTGGATTACCCAATGTCTCATAGAATCCCAAGTCAGATCTATCAGTTCTGTAAAGTTCATAACGGGAACTGTGCTTTCTATTGTGGTTCATTATCATTGATATGTCTGCTATATACTGTTTTCCAATCTCGAACGTTTTTCCTACATCCCAAGCTTTCCCTGTCTATCTGCAGGCTCTCCCTCCTCGCGAATTCGACTTGTTGTGTTCATCTTATAAATACTGACTCACTTGTACCGTTGATGGGCTTGCGGGCTGTGTCGTTTGTTTACTGTTATATAGCTCGTGTATTCGAGAGAGTAGTTGTCTGTTATAGAGAAGTTTAAATTAGGATGCTTAGGATAATTTGTTTTGTTCGCTCAGAGCGCTGGCGTCTAGTCAGCTTGATTCAGGCACAAATAAAACTTACTGAAGTTGCGAAGTGTCTTAAACGCCTGGTTCTTCCAAAATTATAACATCGAATTGTGTATGCTCAAGGATAAAACGAAGGATAGTCCATTTAGTGATGTATCGATGAACACTGCATTACGGATTAACTCGCTCACATTTTTCTGCAGGCAGCAGTAAGTACCTACTCCTTAATTCTTGGTTATGATAGTATGACCTTTTCTGTCCTTAGCAGGTTGAGCACTTTGAAAGTCCAGAAAGGGTACCTTAAACAGTCACGGATCGATCTTGGATTCAAAAGCGAACTTAGTTGTGATGGTAGTCTGCTTTTTTGTTCTCAGCATAAGCGTGCGGGTTGATGATTTTGAGCCTTGAATTAAAGCTTTGAAAGCTTTGAACTTCTCTTTTGAATCCAACATCGACCAGTCGAAGTTCGTGCTGATTTCCCCTTTCTGAACTTTCACAGTATTAATTACTAGTTTATAGCATAAGTTCGAGGCAATCGAAGTGTATAATTGTTAGCCTATATAAGTCCGAGGCAATCTGCAGCACAGGTAACAAATTTCCAAAACACTCGAGAGTTTACATTTGTTGTCACCCTTGCACCTCTAGTGATAATGGTTAAACTCATCATATCAAATTTCATCTTACGAGTATCATATGGAGCGGTCTTTAGAACAAGATCAGTATTTGTTTCACGCCTTGTACGTGATAACAAAGAAGACCACGCAACACATTTGGATCAGGAATTTCTTGCAGAGATACAGCGGAAGATTGCAAGAAATAAGCAGATTTTACGAAAACACTCGTTATCCCACATCAAGTAAGCCTTTCAAGAATGATTAGCCTTAGGCATCCAGTGTTTTTGTTTTCAGAGCTCGTGAGCTAAGCTCTTCAATCGCCAATCTTCGCATTTCCATGAATAGCGCACAACAAAAGCAACGCGAAGCGTTTGACGCACAAGCGAATTCTATCGCTAATATTCCCTCTCATGTATCGATAGAGGTGAGTCATCTTGGTTTTTTGAAGTGTTATTGGTCTTTTTCGCTAAATACTTCGTCATTGTGCTTGTTCCTTGTAGCTTTTTTTTTCAAGTTCTGAAAAAATAGGCTTTCTTTAGATTCTTGGTAATGGTACTTGTCATATACGACCATGCGTTGCTATACGCACCCCTTTGAAGACCTACTTGTTCAACTGTCCGGAAGGGGCTTCACGGTTCTTACCTCAACTTCGCATGAAAGCTTCCAACGTCAATGATATTTTCGTCACTCGATGTTTGTCTCTTTATTCTTAGACTTCCAGTATTTTTGCAAGTAGTACTAATATATTTTAGCTACATGGGATAATATAGCTGGAATATCGTCAATTTTACTATCAAAGGAGACAAACTGCTTATCGACGCGGTTGCATGGTGCACTCAACATCAAACATTTCTTGGAATGTATCCGACCATTTCAGGATTCCGATTACGGGTCGATCAAGTATCCATCGCAGGTTAGTAAATATTGGCTTGAAGCTTTAGGCATTAGACTTTTTGAAACTTTGTTGCAGGTAGAAGAGAGATCATATACTATGGAAAGTTACGAAGATGCAGCTTTACGCGTTACTTACCTACCTTTGAGTACACCGTTCCGCGACGCTGATGGTCAGGTATGTTGTTTGCTTAGTTTAGCATATTTTTTCAGCAAAGCATGTGGTACTTTCTCCTGTGCAATTCTCATGGTATTCATTGTTTTGGTTCAGACTGAGTTCTTAAATGTGGCTTATCTGGTCGAGCTGAAAGCACCACCAAGAAGAATAGATCCGTTGAAGCTGATTGCGCTCAAGGTTAGTGTTCCTGGCTTTGATTTGCTGAGTTTACAAGCATTTTTAGGTGCCAAAAGGACCACTCATCGGAAAGCTGAAAAATGGTGAAGCGGTCCAGTTGCCTGATGGACGCGAAATTCTTCCCGATGATGTGTTTTCTTGTGAAAGTCCTAAGGTTGATCATATCATAAGTCTCCAGACATTATTCTGCTAGCCATCCTTGCACTTTAGGAAGAGCGACCGCGAGCTCTGTTTTTTGAATGTTCTGGAGAGGCCCATGTCAAAGCTATTAGCGAAAATTCCGTCATCCAGGTATGCAAATAATTTTAATATTTATCTTCAGTGATGACTAGTCAAATTATTTGGCCTCTTTATCTTTCTTCCTTTTTGTAGTTTCGCGTCTGGTAATGTCATCAGTCTTGTGCATGATTTTGCAGCAATTCATCAACGGAACTGAGTGTATCGATCATGTTGTTCACCTGAGCGAAGAAAACATCATCCAACTTCCTTCGTACGCAGAATTTGTTGCCTCTCTTGGGTCAAACTGTCGACACGTCGTGGTCAACTCGTCCTGTCCAGTAATCCCTAGTGTTGAAAGCATCTACAGGTGATAGTGTCGTATCAATGCCATCATCTTTATGAATGGGTTATGATGTAGGAACCATCGTCTCCTGAATCATATAAGCCCCGATTTGTTCCCACCACTGCATCCATTAGCTTGGAGTGGATTGGTTACTCAATCTAATGAGTTGGCCGTTAACGATGGAGTATACACCAAAGTAGCTCCGCTTCAGCGGTTTTGGATGAGGATGGGAGGTAAATGAATTTGTTGCGTTCTTTCGAGTAAGTAGGGTGAAAGTTTTTAGGAGTTGGTGAAGACCCTATCATTGCGGACTTGCGCGAGACTGACTTGCAGCTGACGGATAAGGCTAAGCAGATGATAATAGATTTCTGGCAAGGTTAGCTCATCAGCTTTTTGTACTACGCGTGATTGGCTAGTTTTTTAGTTTATGAAACAGTGTTTTTGGAGTCCGAACTATATCGGCATTTTCATAAGTTTGTGTAAGTATCCACTTAGCTAAATATTTTTGCACTAATAATACGAGCTTTTTACGCTTTTCTTAGCTCGCGGCCACTGTCACGACCCTTTATGATAATCAAAGACAGTTTAAACATCGATTTTGTTTGAAATTTTTGGTTTTGTTCTTTGTCTTCAGCTGAATGAGGCATTTTTGGTAACCGCTCAACTGGTGCAGTTCTTGGCTCAAAACCGGATAGTGTTAAACTGAGAACATTTATGTATTGAGACTGTCTTTTGCTTCTCTGTCATTTCTAATCTACTGAGCTTTCCATCTTAACTAAGAATTCAAGTGCTCTGCTTGCAGAAACAGAGAAACTACGAGAGTCGTTTTCCGAGCCTTGCGAATATCCAAGAGTGTCTTTCTTGGGCACTTCGTCAGCTGTCCCGTCAAAATATCGCAATGTCAGTTCGTACTTGCTAGAGACAAGCCCTACATCCGCTGTACTTATCGATGTTGGAGAGGGAACATATGGGCAATTACGGGTTCTGCTTGGAGAGGAAAAGTGTGCTGAAGTAAGTTATTCTTTAATGTAGTGTTTCAAGATAACCGGCCATTGTGATGTTGAGGGATGATGTAATAATTCATCTGTTCAGCTTTTATGCAATCTCCATGCTGTTTTTATCACTCACGCCCATCAGGATCACATGAATGGCCTCTACACTATTATTGAACGGCGTAAAGAAGCCATGAATGCCTCAGGTAGGCGATTACATTCTTTAGCGGTTGTTTTCATTTGTTCTCGCTATTATAATTTTGTCTTTAAAGGAAAAGCTTATGTACCATTGGTGCTAGTCTGCAATCGTAATGTACTAAAACCCTTGAAAACTTATTCAATGTGCTTCAATGACCTTGAATCTCTGCTGGAAATAGTAGACATCTCCAGACATCCAATCACACCTCCAGCTAGGTTAGTACGGGTCTTCGGTTCCGTAAACACCCCACAGTTAATGTCATTCCAGTCCTGGACCACCCACAAAACGGCGTAGATTGCCATCACCAGTGTTGTCTGCTTGCAGAAACGTCATAGAACAGATGCCACGACCGCTCTTCTCAGAGCAGGACTGGAACATAGAAGAGATCAAAGCAGTTCAGGTATGGATCGATTTTTGGGAGTATTCGAACAATGCTCAGATTGTAGGTCCATCACACAAGAATGGCTAATGGATTCATATTCAAAGTTGGTGGCAAGCGAGTAGTATTTTCCGGAGACACAAAACCTTGTGATTTGCTTGTAAACGAAGGCCTCGATGCCGAGTTGCTGGTTCATGAGGCGACTTTTGAAGATGGCCATGAGGTCTGATTTAATCCACTGATTTATTACAATCTATCCTATAATTTTCACGTTATTCGATTTGTGTTTGTTCTAGGCAGATGCTCTGAAAAAGAAACACTCTACAATGGGCCAAGCTGTAGAAGTAGGACGAAAAATGAAAGCCAAAAATGTAATTTTGACACACTTTAGTGCAAGATATCCAAAGGTAAGCTATAGGCATTGATGACGTCATTTTATTTGATGTCTGCGTTAGGTGCCAGAGCTGCCGGCTTATCTGGAGAAGTGCGGAAACGTGGGTGTCGCTATGGACAATCTTAGTGTGCGCTTTGATCAGCTTGCTCTAGTACCTAAGCTGATTCCAATATTCAGGTGTGTATATGGTCTCATTGTTACCTCAAGTTGTCAACTTTTTTTTTATAATTGGCGTCATGACTAGTTTTCATTTTTGAAGTTTGAATATGTAGTCGTTTTCCATGCAGATTCACAGCGCAGAAATGCAGTTGAATCGTTTCAGCTCTTCTTCATATCATTGCTTTTCTAGAAAAAAAAACGAGTTTGTTTTTAAGGCACACGAAATTGCGAGCTGTGGTTTTCTCGAAATTCTAGAAAAAGCAGCGCGAATTGGTCACGAGGAGGTAGTTTAAAATGTGACAATCTTGCTTTGGCTGTTTGCAGACCCTCAAAATGAAAACAGTTTTAGTTTTTCATCTTGCGTAAAACAGTCTCGTATGCCACTTGAGAGTTGTTTGAGTTTAGATGGGTTTTATGTACCTACTATCTGTTGTAAAGTTGCTGCCGCAATGTGTAAGATGAAGCGTTTACGTAACGTTTCTTTTCTGAAGAGCGCAAAGTTTAATGGATAAAACGATGCCGCATATCTAGAATACATTCTATTTTGAGCAAAAAACCTAGAATCCGATGAAATCGAGATAACTGTCCAAGGGGCGAAACTCATGAACATTCGTGTGTAGTTTAATTTTGTGAATAATATGATTATACACTACTTTTTTCAGAGAAGTCTATCAAGAAGAACTGTTCGAAATTGAATTGCGGAAGGAATCGCGCAATTTGAAGTTGAAGGAAGAGCGAGAGAACAAACAGAAAACGGAGCTCAAAGCTCGAGAGAACACTGCAAACTTTGCCACTAGTTGACATAATTGTTACCGTTGTTGTTGTTATGTTATAACAGAATTAGATTGTTATAAATCTGTGATACGGGTTTGGATGCTTCCCACAGCGATTGTGTTACTCTAACACTAATTACTTTAATTCTACTTTTTTAATGTTTTTTTTAACTTCATCTGTTTGTTCGTTGTTTTGAGTTTCTATGTCGTTGAGAATGATTTCTAAGCTATTCCGCTGATTGAAGGGGCCGGTTATCGGTTTGGCGTTGAATGGCGGAAGAGGTGCAAGCGGATGTGAGAATTTTACTAGTCGGAGAGCAAGGCGTCGGAAAGACGTCGTTGGTGATGAGCTTGCTTGAAGATGAATGGGTTGAACATGTACCTCCGAAGCTGGAAAGGTAATTCTCACTTGAGCATTTTTTGTTCCGATTTTTATTTCTTTGTTTGACGTCATCTCATTAACCAGTTTTTTGCTAGGTTTCACTTTTCTGCTTTGTTTTAGCCTTACAAATTTATTTCTGTGCCCTATTGTAGGGTACTAATTCCTGCAGACGTTACACCTGAAAATGTTACAACATCCATTGTCGATTGTTCAGTGGGCGGCGAAGGTAACTCATTCAATAACCAAAGCGTTTTATTTGTGAAATGTTGCATTTGCAGGAGACGCCTACATAGTTTCCGAATTGAAACATGCAAATGTTGTGTGTATTGTTTACACAGTGTCCGATGACAGCACCATCAAGAAAGTTACGGATAGGTAGATTTGGGTTCTTCACAATTTTCCAACTTTCATGCTTGAAGTTTTATTATTAGATGGTTACCTTTACTACGTGACGTTTATGGAACAGACCACGAAATTCCGGTGATTCTAGTAGGAAACAAGTCTGATGGACCGACGAATCACACTGATAAGGTATTTCCTGTGGGAGTAAAAATATCGGTGTTTTATTGTCATCTTGTGTAGGTGCTTCCTATAATGGAAAAGTGGCCTGAGGTTGAGACGTGCGTGGAATGCTCGGCTAAGACTATGAAGAATGTGAGCGAGATATTCTTCTATGCTCAGAAAGCTGTGGTCCATCCCACAAGACCATTATACGATGCGGATGAGAAGAGACTTACAGACAAAACGAGAAAAGCTCTGATACGAGTGTTCAAGGTAAGTCGCAATTTTAACTGCCGGATGCTTCTCTGAATGTCTTATTTTTGACAGATCTGCGACAGAGACAATGACGGTTACCTGAACGATTCGGAACTTAATGAGTTTCAAAAGTTGTGTTTTGGTATACCATTGACCTCAGCGGCTATTGAGGATGTGAAAAGAGCAGTTGCGGATGGTTGTTCAGATGGAATAGTCGATGGAGCGTTGTCACTGCCGGGTGCGTTTTTTTTAGCTCAGAATTCAAACACCAAAAGAAACTCTTTTCAGGTTTTCTCTATCTCAATCTTCTGTTTATCGAACGGGGCCGCCATGAAACAACCTGGACGGTCTTGCGAAAATTTGGTTACGAGTCAAACTTAAAGCTTGGAGAGGACTATCTCTACCCTAGGGTCCATGTAAGTCACAAGAGTCTTAGACGCTCCTATATATGTCTGTTGTTCGGCTCATGATGCTGATTCCAGGTACCAGTAGGTTGTTCAACTGAGCTTTCTCCTGAAGGCATCCAGTTTTTGTCGGCATTGTTCGAGAAACATGACGAAGACAAAGACCAGTGTCTCTCGCCATGTGAGCTCGCTAATCTTTTCAGCGTTTGTCCTACAGCTGCACTTAGTAGAGAGGTTTGTTTTTCACCCGTACTTATGCGTTCAATTTTTGCTTTGTGATGGACTAACTCTAGACAACGATTAATTTTAGTTAGCTAGAGACTTTTCAGATTCTTTCTGCTGTTGAAACAAATCAGCGAGGATGGATTACATATGCTGGTTACATGGCTTACTGGAAGTTGGTAGTTGCTGTGTTATATCTTTTTTCATCGAAAAATCGTTTTCCCCGGTTAAAACCAATTTTACTCTGACTTTTTGCAGCATGACAACTTTGATCAATGTATCGCAGACTATGGAACAATTAGCGTATCTTGGATTTGCTGTAGGACGCAGTACTCAAAGTACGTTTCTCTTCCATTGTTCTGTACGTGGCACTTTATAAGGCGCTTCACTGGATGTTCAATATGTCGAATTGAACTTGATTTTTGGTCGAATTATCAAAAGCAAGAGACAATGAGAATTCAATATTTCCAGCTCGTGCCGGTTCTGTAGCTGACGCGATAAAGATCACCAGAGAGCGAAAAGTTGACCTTACTGAACGAGGAACTAATCGAAGAGTGTTTCAGTGCCTTGTAGTTGGTGCTAAGGATACAGGAAAGGTGTGTACTTATTTTACTCGATAAAGAAAACTGCTACACTTGACTTGTGACTTGCTCAGAGTGTATTTATGCAATCTCTGGTGGGTCGCGGCTTATTGGATGCGATGCATACAGGCAGGAGACATTACCCATATGTCATAAACCGAGTGAAAGTCAAAGAAGAATACAAGTACCTGTTGCTCAGAGAGGTAGCGCTTTGTTTTCTGGGTTCAAGACTCGTAAGACAAGACTCGTAGACTCGTAGACTCAGAAGACAAAATTCATAGGTCGATGTGCTGCAACCGCAGGATGTACTGAGCAGCGCCGAAACAACCGCTGACGTTGTCGCTTTTCTTTATGATATTAGTAATCCAGATTCATTTGCTTTTTGTGCAACCATCTACCAAAAGTACTTTTATAGGTTGGTTTGTTTATTTTATGTTCAAATTTCTTTCTTTGATTATTTTAATTTCTCGCCACATGTGTCGCATTTGCTTTTATCTCCTTCTGTGCCTCTATTTTATCTGCGCTTTTTGTTTATCGAATCAATCCGTTAGCATTGACATGCTACAGGACAAGAACTCCATGTGTGATCATAGCGACAAAGATTGAACGAGAAGAAGTGGAGCAACGATGGGAGGTTACACCAGAAGAGTTCTGTCGGCAACATGAGCTACCCCGTCCGATAAAGTTTACAGAAGCTCAGGTAGTACCTTAATGTATCAATTGTTTTTTTTTTTTTGATACTATGCATTTCGTTTTTTACGCTTTATCTGCTACAGATTGGTCTTGCAAGTGGTCCAATATTTGAGCAGCTTGCCACTATGGCCGTTTATCCGCATCTTCGACGAGTGTATTATCTTCACGATTCTAACCTACTTTCCAAGATCACGTTCGGAGCAGCTTTGGCAGCTTTAGCAGGATTCTTAGTGTTCAAAAATCTTTAGCTAGGCTTACATCTCCACCTTCATCTATAGAAGTACAATCAGTCTTTGACAAATTCAGGTCTTATATTGCATTCTTCGAGATCAAAATCTCTCAATTTTAACAACTTGTATCGTTCTCGGCCATTTAATAACCTTCCTGCCTGTTGATAGTTTCTTTGCTCATGAGCACAGAATGGTGCTCTTCATCCGGTAGGCATAGTGGACATTAGAAATTTGGGTAGAGAATTAGGAATTTTTGAAGATCTCAATCATAATGTGCTGCATCTTAACACTCTTGTGGCTGTCCACCATGCTTCAGTTTATCAAATTGGACGCAGCCAGTCTTCTCACTGAGAGAGCTTCAACGTGTTTGATCAAGTCATTTTTTTTTGTCGCATGCATGACATTCTTCGTAGAAAGTCAGTCATCAAGATTTTCTCTCAAATTTTCGAATTGTCCTTCGTGGATAATTCTAGGAAACCTCATGTTCGCTTATCTTTGCGAACTATCACTTCGTTCCTGAATTAAATTGCCGCACTTCTTCGGTTCAAGACCTCGTATGTATATATTGCGGGTGCGTGAATTGACTTTATTTTTCGTGCTCGTTAGGTAGAGAATGTAACGTTTAGGTTCTATCATCTCTCACTTCCGTTTTGTTATCTTAGTTGTCTTGAATGTTCGAGGTACTTGTAGTAACCTTCTCCATGATTTTCCCATGACTTTTCTTCCTTCAATTGGTTGTACATCAATTCCGCTGTTGAATAAATCTGCGAGGCTCAATCTTTTTTTGGAAGGAAGGAAATGCTTACCAGGCTTACTTTGTGCAATTAGTTGCAAGAGGAAAATGCCGTCATTATATATTGTTGATCCAGCAATACGTTCATATAGAAACAGTGACAACAGAGTCTAAAATCTCAGAATGTCAGAATGTGAAAAAGATGAACCCCAGCAAGCTGTGGATGGAGTCATGCCAAAGGAAGATGGTAAATTCCTCTCAACAATCACCGGTAACATCCGTATTGAAAGTACTTCTCAGCCCAGTGAGTTCCAGGTGGTACCGATGAGAAAGAAGATGATGGAGGAAATTGCGATAATACATCAGAGATTACAGGACTTTCCAAGCACGCGTTGAAAAAGTTAAAAAATCGAGAAAGGTTGGTGCTACCAGAATAAACCGTGTAGATGATGCGTAAGTTGTTGCGAACCTTCAGGTTTTGTCGAGTAGACATACCATCTGTCTCAATGACAGTGTCGCTGGCTCGTGCGGCTCGAGCCCGCACGTCCGCCTTGCATGCAACCCTCGCGTCTGTAGACTCTTGGGTAGCCCTAAGAATACGCGTAGACGCAGCGCAGTATCCAAAAGGGCACGTAGGCCGGCACTGCACGAGCCGAGGCACTGTCATTGAAACAGAAAATACGGTGAAAGCTCTTCTAGGCAGTTTGTTTTATAGCCGCAGAGACTTTTTGCAAGTTTCGTCGTTCCTTTTTTTTACCTTTCCATTTTGTAGATGGCTGGAACATCGCAAACGCAAACGAGTCGAAGAAAAGCAAAGAAAGAAAGAGAAACGTTTAGCCTTGAAAGAAGCTGGCCTAGGACAGCAACTACGACGATTTCGTGGCAAAACAATGGAACAATCCGCATGCAAGGTTTGCGTGTGGAGCGTCGCGCTTTCAATCGATAATTGATTTTCTAGGTTCGCATTGCAATCGACATGTCGTTCGATGATTTGATGTCGGAGAAAGATTGTCGACGTACTGTACAACAATTGAACTGGTGCTACTCTGCGAATAGACGATGTCCGGAGCCAATGCAATTTTATATAAGTTCTTTCAAAGGACAATGTAGGAAAGTAAGTGCACCGTTGGCGGTGCTTACTCGCTCTTGCTGCCGTGCCAGCACCGTTCCAGCGCCGTGCCGGAGCTGTGCAAGGTTGCGGTGAGAATTTCTATTGATGTGTTGACTTAGCCAGGGACCTCATGGCACGTTCCCAGCACGGCATGAGGCATGGCGCTGGAACGGCCCTGACACAGCGCTGAAGCTGTGCCAGCACACGTCAACTCAGGGCCCAATTTTAACTTGGTCTGTATTTCAGATTTACGATAGCATTGAATCAAACAAGAATCAAGATATTTATTTGAAAGATGAGCCTCTGGATGAGTTGTTTAGGCCGGAAGAGATTATCTACCTCACTGCTGAATCGGACAATGTGAGTGAAAGTAATATAATTTTTGATTGGGAAGAGACGCCAACGCAGACAATGCAGCTGCGTACGGCGGCGCAGTCGCGGCGGCGCGGCTTCGAGCCTCTGAGTCGTGCAGAGAAGATTCGAAATGAGATTCGGAAAGCTAGAGCGCGCTGTGTTTTCATTAGGGAGTCAACTGTTGATGAACTTTTCAGGTTTTATCTGACTTGGATGATTCAAAAGTCTATGTAGTAGGTGGTCTCGTCGACCACAACAGCCAGAAAGGCTTGTGCTTAGAACTGGCAGTTCGCCAAGGCTATGGACATGCTCGATTACCGATTGATGAGTTTGTGGAGATGAAAACGCGAAAGGTTCGTCTATCAAGATTTTGTACCAAAGCTTGCTTATTTCCAACTTCCTCTTTCAGGTCCTGACCATCAATCATGTATTTGAAATCCTGGTGCATTATTCCGTAAATCATGACTGGGAAAAGTCGTTTTTCATGGTGATTCCACCACGAAAAGGAGCGACAAAGAAGGAGATTCGCACAGGTGATGAAAGCGAAGAAGTCGACAAGCAAGATTTGTTAGAGTCGACTGAAGAAACCGAAGAACTGGATTCTCCGGATGTGAAACGTCTGGAGCTTGAGGGCAGCCAACAATAGCGTTATTATAGCCTGTTATTGTTGATTTGTTTGTTGAGTGTGCATAAAATGACCCAAACATTGAATATTTGAATCAGTTGAAAGATTGTAAAGTTTGGCAAGCCCTAGTAACCTAAAAAAGTACCTAATATTATGCAGCTGTCACATAATATTAGGTTGATGCGTAATTCTTGCACCAAAAAATAAAACAAAATCGTCCAAAAAATGTTTAAACAAACTAATCAATTTATTCATTTTTTCTAAGGGCAGGAGCGAAACGGAGTCTTTTTGTTATTTACACATTGTGAATTGGAAACCTTTTCTTTTTGTTACAGAATATGCTTATTGTTATGAATTATGGTTTCTCATATTTTTTTCCGTTTTTACCCTGAACATCACGTTTTTCCAAGAAATGGGGCACCTGCTAAGGATACAAATACATGATCGTTTTGTGTATGTATGAGCTATATGATCACGTGTGGGAGGCTCAGGAGGTTTAGGGGCGGAGTTTGCCACTTTAGCCTATTCATTTTTTCTTTATTTTTCAGCTTACATGGAAAAACCACGAATATTGCCATAATTGAATGTTCGATGTGTCAAGTATGTGCTAGAGTAAACGGGGAATTTTTTTAGATACTTTGGGGTAGAGATACGATTTTTAACAGAAAGGTTATTCTCGTCAGATTTCAGCTTGAAACCTTCACGTGGGATATGATTTGGGCGAACTTCTGATGGCCATCTTTTAGAGCTTGCCTTGCCCTGTCGAATGACTACTCAAGCCACATTTACTTAAGATTTACTTAAGAAGGAAAGATACAAAAAGACGGCGGTTGTAGTGAAAAAGGTGAAAAATTATGAGACACCCTGATATATTAAAAGTACTTCATAGTTAGGGTTCGGCACAGCTGGCACCGGGTCAAGCTAGATATCGTTTTTAGGGCTGAAAGCAAAGGGGATATCGTTTTTTCGGGGTCCGGGGCGGAGAAGTGCCGCAAAAATGCCGCCGGCATGCCACCGGCATGTTGAACATCAAACAAACAAAGGCGTTGTTTTTAGCCGAAACGCAATAGCATGACACCAAACTTGGTGTGTACATGCGCGTTGGGGGACCCGAACTATGGCCCAAAAATTTATGAAAACTTATGTGAATGAAAGCTGCGCCGAACTTTTTTCTGAATTAGCTGGCACCGTGCCAGCTGGGTGCCGCTGGCACCGGCACTCTGCTCACATAAGTTTTCATATTTCTCTACATAAAATGTAGCTACACTGTAAAAGTTTACATACAGAGAAGAAACAATTTCATAATGTTTCCTCTTCAGCGTTTTATAGCCATTTGAAAATTACTCGATCTGTTCCACAGTCGAAAAATCGGCTTTTTCTGCTTCTCAACATGTGATTCAGCCACTTAAAAAGGTCAGAAAACTGTGGAAAGTTGTTCCATGAAATCAGCATGCCTGAAAACCCTACTACATGCGTTTACATAATCTAAAGATAATGACGGGTTCTCAAAACAGGCCAAAAGGGACTTCGTACGAAATTTTCAAGATCAAACGGGACTTAGTTTTGAAAATTTCCTGGTGCCAGCTCGTGCCGAGCCCTGTTCATAATACTGGAAAATCCATATATAACAAAGTAAGTCAATTTGAAAAAATCGAATTTCGTAAGTATTCGCAGAGACACCTATTCCCTACATTCTTCTTTTATGTAGGAAGAGTATGTCATGGAAATTTATCCAAAAATTTCAAATTTCAGTTGACGCTTAACAATTTCGATGAAAAAATAAAAAAAACAGTTTCTGGATATTTCTTTTGATGACCAGGGCTGGGTACGAGGTGACTAGTTGAAAATGTAAGAAACGAAGTGCCTCTTGACTTTTGCTAATTTTTACGAAGTCCTCTTTGACCCTATACCATATTGCCTAACTTTTGTGTCTTTTCATCTCAAAAACGATATCCACCTTGCTTATGAGCTACCTGTGCCGAGTCCTATTAATGACATTATGTCGTTGCCATATGCTCTCAAACTATTTTAATTTGAGCACTTTGAGAAAGCGCAAGATTTTCTCGCTACTATGTATCAAACCATAAGATTTCATTGAAGGTGGAGAAGTGAGAGCAGGGCTCAGCACGAGCTGGCACCAGGGAAATCTTAAAACGAACCGTTTGATCATGAAAATTTCGCACGAAGTCCCCTTTGACCTGTTTTGGAGACTCGTCATTATTTTTAAATTATGTAAAAGAATGTAGAAAGGTTTTCATGCATGCTGATTTCATGGAACAACTTTTCGCAGCTTTCTGAGCTTTCTAAGTGGTTGAATCACATCTTGAGAAGCAGAAAAAGCCGATTTTTCGACTGCGGAGCAGACCGAGTAATTTTCAGATGGCTATAAAACGCTGTAAAGTTTCTTTACAGCGTAAAGAACATCATGAAATTGTTTCTTCTCTGAATGTAAACTTTTACAGTGTAGATACATTTTATGCAAAAAAGTATGAAACTTATGTGAGCAAATATCGATGCCAGCTCAGCTGGCACCGATCCTGCTAATCCAGGAAAAAGTTCAGCACAGCTTTCGCTCACATAAGTTTTCATTAATCCTTGGGCCATAGTTCGGGTCCCCCAACGCGCATGCACACACCAAATTTGGTGTTATACTATTTATTTATTTATTTATTTGAATACGCCACAGGCGCGCCATAGTGTCGGGTTAGTAACCAACAGATTCTTGAGAACAAAAATCAGTGTTAGAAATACACAAACTCAGAGACAAGAAAGGCTTAATGCAGAAAAATAAAATAGCTTTTTTTTGAGACCATTCGCCACTCTAGGTTAACTAATGAATGATAGAACACAAGGACTAACTATCAGAAGCGCTGCCATAAAGGACATTCATATGAGTCTGCGCATGCCACCCTCGCTGACCAGCAAGCGACCTACATTCAAGGAGTATGACGGAGACTATGAAAAGGGCATGCTAGCGCGACAAACTAGGCAACCCTAGTACAACCGAACATACTGGATGAGCCACAGACTCAATAGGAAAACTGGAAATATGCTCGGTAAAAAATATTTCGGGCAGTCTCCTTAGGTTAGCCTTATGTACCAGGAAGAAAAGAAAAATTAGACCCAGAACGACAAATATGTCTCAGTCGAATTGAACTGACACATCATCAAACCAAAGATCAAGCAATACGAAACGGCATCTATCTTACACTCTTACAAAAGGAAAGGTAGTACAGGCAAATAAAAGAACTGGAACTCGATCATGCGTTGTCAACGTATACTGGACGACACACCTTGAGTCCGCCGAGAAGCGGGATCTAAAAAGGAAACCGAGAAAAACAACTACAAACTAAAGAGAAAGCTAAACTCCCAAGCTTATCGCAGATGAAAAAGACATGGCAAGAAAGAAGATGTAAAGCAGTCAGCCGAATTTAACCATTTTCTGAAAAAAAAAGAGGAGAAGAAAAAACGGATTGAAATAAACGAAAGACACACCTTGTAAAAGAGACCCTACATCTAAAAGTATTCAGACTCGTCAATGCCTAACAAACTCAAAAAGTCGCATTCCAAAAGCTTTTTTCTAAACAATTTTGAGTTAACAGAAGAGATGACAGAGTCAGGCAATTTTTCCATCCAACGTGCAGTACGAACAAAAAAGGAGTTATAAAAAAGCTTGTTCAATTTTGTTGATCCTATTGAATCAGCACAGTAAAAATTAAACCTACCTGTACGTCCGTGGCAAGGCTTCCAAACCCAAAATTCACTAGGCAAAAGCTTAGTCTCGAGACGTAATATTTGGAAGGCAAGTACTAGATCAGCAACAACCCTTCGGTAAAGCAGGCTATGGAGCTTGAAGCGGGCCAACCTACTTCTATAGGACGGGAGGGCAGCTGGGTAATCGTCGTTAGGCATAAGTCTATATAAAAGGATACGAGTAAAAGTCATCTGAACTCTTTCCAAAGTCAAGATATCCTTCTTTATATATGGACTCCAAACTTGGCTAGCATATTCTAAATGCGGGAGGACATAAGCCATATACATTCTGATGTAAACTTTCTCATCAACATGCTTCAAGTTACGTAGCAAGAGGAAGAGTCTGTGCAGGGCTGCACGTGCTATTTTCTCGATATGGGATCCAAATCGAAGCTCTTGGTCAACTAGCACCCCAAGATCTCTTATTAGTCCAGGCCTAAAAAGAGAGGTACCAGAATGCTCGTATTTCTCAAAGGTGCAATCATTCTCCTTTCTTTTGGAGATTGTCAGGCAGGCACTTTTTGTTAGGTTAACGTCAATACTGTTAAGAGAGGCCCAATTCAGAATATTCTGCAGGCAGTCTCTAAAGGCTTGTGTAACTTCACCTCTATCAGCATCAACATAGGATGCAAACACTTTAATGTCATCAGCATAGGCCATAACCTTAACTCTGCAGTCTGTAGTTAAGAGTCCAGGAAGGTCACTTGTGTAAATATTGAAAAGTACAGGGGACAATACACCACCTTGTGGCACTCCACTAGTTGCTGAGTAGAAGGAAGAGTCAGCAGAATTACAGCGGACGGAAAAAGTCCTATTGGACAGATAAGATGGGAGCCATTTCAAAACAGTTCCACGAATTCCTACTTGGAAAAGCTTTTCAAGCAGTTTGGGAATGTCTACTCTGTCAAAGGCTTTAGACAGATCAAAATAAAGAACATCGGTAAATCGATTTTGAGATAAAGCTTTTTTCCAGTGATGTTCACAGACCAATAATTGAAGGGTGGTCGAAGAGCCTTCGATAAACCCAAACTGTTCAACTGGAATGAGATGGTTTTGTGCACAAAATGCCAACAACTTCCTTCTAACAATCTTCTCGGCAACTTTACAAACAACAGAATTGATGGATATCGGCCGAAACTCGGTAACCTTGCATGGACTCTGAACCTTAGGTATGGGTACGACTTTTCCTTGCTTCCATACATCTGGGAGCTCTCCACTGCTCAAGGAGAGATTGATTAGAATAGAGACAGGAGTAGCCAATTGGTTGGCACATCTTTTAAATACAATCTGGGGGATGCCATCAGTTGTCAAAAACGTGGATGATTTGAGCTTTCTCAAAATGCCCACAATCTCCCAAGGAAGCACCTGTGAAATTCGAGAAAGACAGGAGTGGCATGATCTGATGTCGTATTGAGAGTCATTGTTGTCGGGGGGATTCGATGGAGCTCGGAAAACCGACGCAAAGTAGCGCCCTAGATGCTCAGCTTTCTCTTGATCTGTCTTGATGACATTTCCTTGGTCATCCCGCAATATCTGCACCTTCGCTGGTTCTTTAAGAAATGAACGAGCATATCTGAACAAAGAAGCAGTATTCATCATTGTTAGCCTCCTCTGTTTATAAGCACTAAACCTAGCTAAGTGCCTGGATAACTCTTTAGTAATGTGCTTGTACATTGCAGAGGCTAGGGGATTTCGAGATGTACCGAACAACCTGTTTCTTTGTTCAATCAAGTTCTTGATGTGCAAGGGATAATCGCAAGGTCTACTCATTTTCTTTTTGTACGGGACAAATCGCGAGAGCAAGTCATGCATCAAATCAATAAATCGTTGATAGGCATCATTGATCGAAGTGGCATCAAGTAATGTCCACCAATCAATAGTGTCTAAAGCGGAAGACATGGCCAAGTAATCACCGCCCATGTAGTCAAAATGGGAATCCACACAGGAAGTATCAGTGGGTATTGAAAGATCGAAATGAACACTGGCATGGTCAGAACCACAGAGAGAAGGCTTAACAATTACATTGTGAACAACAGGATTAGATGATAAGACAAGATCTAACACATTGTTCATTCTAGTTGGATGAAAGACATGCTGAACAAGCGAAAGTTCATTAACACGTTGACGACGAGCCATTTTTTGCGGTCTGTCCCTGTGGACGAGACGTTTCCATGCATTCCTACGCGTGGCCCATGTATGTATGCATGCATCCATGCACGAAGTACACAATGTGCAAGCCCCGCCCCCTCTGGCAAGCTCCGCCCACTCGACCAAAAATGTCGGAAATTGCCCAAATTTCAAGAATTCATGCGATTTCCGCCACTTTTGAGAAGTGGGCGGAGATTGTCTGACGGTGGGCGGGGCCTGGCTACCGTCAGGCAATAGTGCTAGTTGCTTGAAGTCTTTGCGTTCATCTACAGCCTCATCCATGCTTTTTGTGGACAAAAAGGATCCTTGTGAGAGGCATAAAAGTGGGCGGAGTTTGCCAAAAGGGGCGGGGCTAATACATGAAGTACATCTGAGCCTATGTTGATTATATGAACAAAAACTGAGAGGATTGGACAGATAGTATTGAATTTAAGGCCGCCGCGCACCATTGCGCGGCGTCGTCCACAGGGACAGACTGCCTGCCGCGCACCACTGCGCGGCACTGTCGTCAACGTGTTAAACAAAGTCATAAATCTTCTAGAAGTAGGACTTAAGGGAGTCTTATTTGACCAATCAATAGCAAGGTTGAAATCACCCATCAGGACGACATTGGGATGATTACTACAGAAGTTTTGCAAAAAATCAATAAGGTAAGAATCATTGTTGAATGTGGAGGAGGGAGGACGATAAACAAGAATGATGAAACAGTTAGATTGCGACTCGATATTCGTAATTTTCAGTGACAAAATATCAGTCATTTGCGTGGGAGTAGGCATATCTTCACATAAAATGATATCACGAACAAGAACACACAAACCTCCCCCACGTCGTTTGATTCGATCTTTACGGAAAATCGTGTATGGAAGACCATGACATAATTCAGAAGATTCAATGGCTGTAGTCAGCCAAGATTCAGTTACGAAGATAATGTCAGGTTTTTCATGAACGAGAAAAAGATGAAACAAATCGATTTTGTTTACAAGACTACGGGCATTAAGTAGGATGCAACTCATCATACAAGTACCATGCAAAGAATTCAGTTTTCCTGACGTGGATTCTGCCCTCGACTTATGTCGGTGATCTTGACCACCTCACCCCGATAGACAACATAGCCCTTGTAGCCCAATGCCTGGTTCTTTTCACGTGCCTCCCTGCGCAGTTCAAAATGTCTCTTGCGTTCATCCGCGGTGAGACTAGGTCTGATAAAGACACTAGAAAACCGCGGATTATTCCTTAAAAGCTATTGCTTTTTGGCTGAGATTAATGGCTTTGTTTGCTTGATGGAGAGCATGTCGGTGGCATGCCGGCGGCATTCTTGCGGCTCTTCTCCGCCCCGGACCCGGAAAAATGATATCCCCTTTGCTTTCCGCGTTAAAAACGATATCCAGCTTGACCCGGTGCCAGCTTTGCCGAGCCCTGAGTGAGAGTTCGAAAATTTTGGTGCAAAAATTATGCAATAGAAGTTTTTCAATAAGGGGCTCAGAAAAGTTTTTGGAATGCTTCTCAACCTTTCAGCGAACTTAGACGAAAAAGCCACCATTTTGTAATATGTTTTAGATAGCGAAAGACTGGAGACAAAGACGCTGAACAAAGGCTTTTTCGTATAAAATCCACGCAAACGAGCCATTCTTCTACAAATTTATAGCCTTTTCACCAATGTGAGGTCCTCTTGTAAGCTCGTGGCGTTTTATCCTTTCACATCTCAAATCATTTCCTAGCTGGTAAAAAACGTAGTCTATATCATTGTTTGACTTCTGTCGCTTTTTTAAAAGTCTTCAGTCACTTTCACATCTGATCCCCATATCTGTCCATAGACCCAGCTATAATCGTGACCATGTTGGCCAGAAAAGCAGAAAGTTATAACACTGGAACCATCGCTCCCTGACTTTTTCCTATGGCTGGGGAATATTTTTGCTCACCGTTAACGTAAACTCTTCTCTTGAGCAAAATTACCATTTTATGTCGCTCGTGACAATTGTGTAGGAAAATTAAATTGAACGACGCAAGCAAAAAGCACCTATCGCAATTCTACTCTTCCTTTTCAAAATTTCCTAATCTTACTTGTATGTAAATCTGCCTTTCAGTTACGGTGAAGAATGCGAGTTCAAAAGAGGACAATCTTTTGAAAGGGTACATTTATCATTCTGTTGCTCCTAGGAAAATGACGAGAATTGGAAATAATCTCTCACATGAGAAAATTTCTTCCAATCCTTCAATAGATAGTACGAGGAACCTGACTCATCGGTATTTTCGTATTACTCAACTACCTTCTATCTTTTGAAAGCTGCTGTGTTCAAGGGTTTACTTCAGACTGAAAATTATATGTGTGTTTCTCCCACATCTGGGAAACATCTAATTACTTGGCTATTGATTCCTTCCCAATGTGTTTGCCAACTCTGTCTTCAGCCATTTGTGAGATAACAACAAATAACTTTATAACATTCTGAGATCTTTAATTCACTTTCCGATGGAAACAACACGAATGGAAAAACGCGCCAATATAAATGAATAACGTTCAGGAAAATCACAGACAGATTGCGCCTATAAGGGGAAGAAGAGAATATTCTGGAACATGTGGCTTAAAGCGTTTGTAACACTACCATAACACCTGGATTACGATAGCAAAAATAATTCTGCACTCTCTTTCTGCTTTTCTAGTTCTCGATTCGACCCGGAATCAAACAGCGGACCGTGATGATGGTGATGTTAGGATGGTCCTAGAGTGTTTTCTTCGTTGCAGCGCAAGCGTTTAGATCGGCGAGAATTTCCTTTTGTGCGGATTGAACTTGGGCAAGTTGAAGCAGCATTTCATCGATCTCGTGACGACTACATGACGCTGAACGTCCCGAACTGAAAAAGGGAAGATAAATTCATACGGTGTCATCATAAAATTGATTTTTGTCATAAAAATTGTTTTGACTCATATTTGTCAAGAATCTCGGTACAATGTCACTGTAATTTCTTCCATTCAGTTTTCTCAATCATTTTCTTCTTGTCATTCAGTGGCATCCCCGTGGTTATAAGTGCGCATCTACGGAAAAACCAATAATTAAATTGCTGTTGCTGCTACAAAGGTCCCCATGTATCACGACTCAGAGGCTTCGCCGCGCTTGAAACCTCAAATATAGGAATGCTTACAATTAGCTGACCGACTACATTGTTTGAGAATAGTAAAAAATGCACACTTCGGCGTCATCGGTTTAGACGCGCATCCATGACCAAATCAATAACTCATGACGCTGCAACAAAGGTCCCGTCTACCACGACTCAAAGGCTTCGTTGCATCTCTAGCACCTAGATATTAGTAAATGTCTAGATAACCGACTCTACTGGCCAGTAACAAAGACAAAAAGAAGTGTATCACAAAACAATCTTGCGTGCTGCCTCCTCATTTGTTCAGACTAGCGCATCTTCAAAAAAATCAATAATTCCTGATGCTACGACAAAAGTCCTCATGTGCCACGACTCAGAGGCTTCGTCGCACCTCTGTGGCCCCAGACGTGACTAATTGCTTAGATAACCAACTCTAGGGTCTGGTAACAAAGACAAAAAAGGATTGCGGTGACTGTAACTACGAAACCACAAGTATGCTCGATGAAGTCAGAATCCTCCTCCATAGTGTTACTTCCGCTAATATCTATAAATAATTACTCTCGAGTTTCTGAGAAAAAAATACTCGCGTCTCTAAACTGCTTGTTTACTTTGCTATAACCAAATGATTGCTTTGGTTATTAATTAGCAGCGAAAGCAAAACATTTCTTTTGAGAAGAAAACTCAACCAGGAATTAGATTTTTTCATATAGTGGACACAACCAAGGCCTCGTGATAGCTTCAGGCGGTTATAGCGTATGTCTGAGTTTGTAGTCAAAGGCGATTTTTGATCTTTGTGGATCATAATTGCGTATTGAGGATATCTGTTCAGTTGAATATACTCATTAGCTGAGATGAAATACTCGAGCAGCTCGATGATGATGTGAATCTATACCTTCCAAGCAAGAATTACCGATTATTTCAGATGAAGGCTGTTTCAGGACGAAAGAAGTTTGTTGAGCGTAGAAAGCATTTTTCTTACATGACCAAAAAATTCTGTACAAATTCTTGTCAGGATGATTGAAAATTCCAGCAGAATTCCTTAAATAATACTTCAGGGATATTTTGAACCCTACATTTTCTTAGGTGCATAGAATAGAATATGAATGTTAATTCAAAATTCAAATTCCTCAAGGAAAAAGTGGGTAGACTTGTTCTACATAGACATTGTTTGTTATCAGTGGCGGAAAGGGGGGGGGGGCGCTTTCCGAGAATGGGTCGCGATATTTTTGAAATTTGATTACATGGGTTAAAAATGTGCAAGTGACTTAATCAATTTGTAGCAATTAAGATGATGGTTGAAAATTTACAAAAATTCGATAGCCTTGAAAAATTTTTTTGGGGGCGCTCTAGATTTCAGGGGTTATGGGCCGCAAAAATTTTCAAAAGCACAGCAAAAAATTATTCAGGGTGCACTCTTCTTTGAAAAAAATTGTTGCCCTCCCTTCCGCCCCAGACGGAAATTGTGGGACCGCCATTGTCTGTTATTTATAACTAATTTTTATTCAGATAAACAAGCTCTTTAGCAAAATTGTTTGTTATTTTTAATTAATTTATATTTGAATAAACAAGCTCTCTAGCAAATTGAGTCTAAAATTCTAAACGATGCAACTCAAAATGAATCTATTAGGTCGTTCCGAAAGTTCTTTCCGTTTTTTCAACCTATCATAAAAACACAAGGAATGAAGGTAGGGAAACGCTTCAGGCACTATCCGACGCAGCTTTTTCTCCTCTTTTCAACAGTCATATTACTGTGTCGCTTGCTTTCGTGGTCAGTGAGATAATGGCTGAAATTTCGAACCCATGCTTTTTACCACGTCCAAATTTGGCAATTTTTCACAATTTTCTTTTTCGACTTTTGAAGAAACTTCAATAGCAATCGGATAGAGTAAACAAAGTGCAATTTGACTGAATTTTTTGGCATCTATTGCTAGCCCCAAGATTTTTTAGAATTATTTTTCTGATGCTATCAAATTCCACTTTTGCTGATGCCAAGAACCATAGAACATAAAACGGCGCACAACTAAGGTGCCATTCGATGCAGCTTTTCCTCCTCTTTCTATTTGTATTTTTCTTCCTAATTTGTGGGGATTTTTGGCGATAAAATTTCCATAACTCTTGATTTTGAACCCGTTTGAGGGTGTGCACGTAAAACGCGAAATCTTATATTTCGAAGCGGTAAACACTCAGTTACTTTGTAAAAATAGTGGACACTCGTAAACGACTTTTGATAGTGTCAAAATCCGAAGATTTGCTAATGTTCGGAGCGTTTGTGTGTTTTGTGACTTCAAAAAAGTGAAGACTTCTGAAAAAGTTGTCTCAAAAAATACTGAGAAGCCAGTTGAAGTTTCCAAAAAATTCCATTAAATTGCACTTTGTTTGCTCTATCCGACTGCTATTGAAGCTTCTCCAAAAGTCAAAAAAGAAAATTGTGAAAAATTGCCAAAGCTGGACATGGTAAAAACCATGGGTTCGAAATTTCGCCCATTATCTCACTGACCACAAGAGCAAGCGACACAGAATATGACTGTTGAAAAGAGGAGGAAAAATTGCATCGGATAGCGCTTGAAGCTTTTCTCTATCTTCATTCCATGTGTTTTTATGACAGGTTGAAAAAACGGAAAGAACTTTTGGAACGACCTAATATTTTGAAGTTCGCGATTTTTCCCCAAGAAGAGCAGCCTTTTTCTCAAAGCGCGTGACGCAGGCGTCACTTCATAAAATGTTCCGGAAGTGCTTGTGAAGTTAAACGCTAGGTATGAACTCGGCTAGGCTTCACCATTGTACGGGTCACAACGGATTCAATTGCCCGTGCTGGACTGAATAGACTCGAACGCAGAGCGCAATTCCTCCGGAAGGTTAAGTTACTCAAAGAGTTGAGTTACCCACTTATCCATTTATGCGTTGTGTGGGGGAGAAAATTGCTTTTTACATATAGAAAAGGGTTTTCGAAATGTTGCACCCAAGTGCCCTAACCTCCAGAGCTCTAAAAATAACTAAGCTTTTTGCACTATAATAACTTTTAGGGATCCTTACATTGGAAGTCGGAACTATTGGCTTCAAAATGAGAAGAAAGTAGTTTGGTAACATAAAAAAAAGCTACTCGTAAGCTTAAGAACACCCTTCTAAAAAGTTAAGAAAAAAGAGGAAAAAGGAAAGGGTGAAGTAGGTTAGAAACATTATTGTTTTATTCATCTTATCCCCGTGCCCGCCTTTTCAGCAGGTGCCATACTTGAGCTGTAAACCCATCCAGCTGATGCGGCGCACTAAATAGCAGACTGTTTGTCGCCTAGTGTCACGTAAGAGTGAAACGGAATGCTGTGAAGTGGATGGAATATGTGTTTCGCTTTCTTGTAATCCAAAAAACTATCTTCGTTTGCTATCTATTGCACAGCCTTTGCACTGGCTTTTTGTTGCCAAGCACGATATTCTTGAATTTCGCTTACGCGACAATGTCGAACGGCCCATCATCTAGTGCGCATATGCTGGGCCGATTTTGGGGTCAACTACGATTCCTGCTTGTCTTTGAGAGCTATCTAACCTAATCTGGCATATAAGAACGCTTTTTTGATTTAAGTCCGTCCATCAAGGTCCATCTGCATTTTTTCCATTACATTCTCGAGTTCTTGAAACTAAGTCCGAAGCGGCCTTCTCTGTATCGGACTTATCTCAAGGGATTTGCAGGCAGGAAGGCCCTGTATGACAGATCTTAGAGTAAATCTGGTTCAGAAACGTTTTGATTGAGAGAGGTGAAAAATTATTGCTTGCTTCATTTTGAATCGCTACTACTTGCGAGTGCCATACAAAAACCGGGTGTGAATCACTACTAGAGCAAGTTGTTGACAAGAAGCCGACGACCAAAGTATATTCTATATGTCAGAGGCTTTACATGGCTTCAAAGTGGCATATAAGCATCACAATACTATTTATCTGACACGAACAACGAAGCCATAATTGCGAGTGAGTCGCGCGGTCTTGGGTCTGGTGGCTTACTCATCTCTGAATTGCAATAATGATGGCAAATTGGTACCGACTAATGAAATAGATGATTGACCTGGCAAATTACCATAATTACTAAGCTATGCACTTTTTTGGCACTGCTTCAAGGAATTTTTGAATACCTGAACTCGTTGCTTTTTGGTGCACTTTTTGCGACACGCACTATTTGACACGTCAGTATAAGTTTTTCGCATAAAATATGTACAATAAAAAGTGGGAAGGGGGTGAGAGGTGGAGGGGGGGGGGGGGAGGAGGGAGGAAGGAAAAGCTTAGCACTGAGAAAGCATTTTTTTGCATAGTAGCCAGTAATCTAAAGGTGCAAGATCTGGGAACGCTCGCTTCGGGACCCCCCGCGGTTTCCCGCTATTGGAAGATTTTTGGATTGAGTTAAAGATTTTTTATATATTAGATTTGAATTTAACAATCGCTTTCGATTTGAGATTCTAGAAAGTGGAGAAGTATTATTTACTACAATGATAAGATTATAGTTTAGTCATTTCACAACCTAATATGTGAAGTTGCACACATCGCACACATTGCGCGTCGCTCCCGCGTTTCGTTGTCAAGGTGAACGCTCTTCCTTTTGAAGGCTTTTCCACTGTCTTTTCTTTGTCTTTATTGTTTGTAGGCATCGAAAGAAACATTTCGTAAGTTTCCGAGAAAAAAACATGCAGTGGCCAACGAAGTTCAGATTACGCGCATTATGTGGAAGTTGTGCAATTGCACAAAATATGTTATGTAATGAGTGACTGTATATTCCTTGTATATATGAGTAGCACGCCTCGAATGAGTTGATTGATCAATATTATTCTACCACCAGTAAATCGATCAATATATCGATTGATCTTCGTAACTTACGTTCTCTGTGGTGCAAGTGGTTCGAATAGTCCGCTTCTCTTATTCCATTGATCAGTGAAGGTCATTTGAGCCAGTGCAACGGCTAGGATAGCGAGGAATACGAGAAGTGTCCGCATTCTGGAGCAATCAATAAATCTATAACGTATCGAAATTGGAAGTTTCTAGAAATTTAGCGACGAAGTATGAACAAGGGCTTGGGAAATGAGTCAAGGAAGGATCGAGGTAAAAGATCGAGGTAGGTACCTCCAGAAAAGCGCCAGTGTAAGTGAGCTGAACTTTCCAGACAGCTACCCACAAGAGCTACCAGAGTATTCACTAAACAAACTACTTCGTATCCACTTTGGAATACGGTGGCCACGCCCATCAACGGTGTGTGAAAAAATGACGTCGAACCTTGCAAGGCCACGCCCTCTGTTGAGTAGCAAATAACAGTGTATGAGAGAAACCTGGAATTTCAACTTCTTGAAAAGATTTTGATTGCAAAAAGAGAGAAGGAGAAAAAAGGAGAGGAAGAGAGGGAAAAGAAAAAAGGAGAGCATGAAAACTCCATTACACGCGACATTTCTTTCATATAGCTTATTTTGTGATTTTTATATGCACGTATTTGTTAAAAAATCTGCTACATGTTGCAAGTTAAAGAATTTTTAGCATGAACATCATACTTTGTTCGATAAAATCCTAAAGAAAGCACATGCTTGCTTGCAATGGGCTTAAGACACCTGTTTAGAAAAATTTGTCCATGTTTTTTTGGTTTGGAAAAAAAGCTGGAAATCGTCAGCATTTACATTTGAAAACTATCCTCGACATCAAAACAAGTTGCGAAAAATTGCAGACTGATTATTGCAAAAAATAATTCTGACCGCACATGGTTAGTTATTTTTATTGAACATAGTATGTTTTGTAAGACTTATTGATTTCTGTATTATTCCAAATGGAAGATGATTGATAAGTCAGCTCTCCAAGGACAAGCTTTCTGCCATTATTTAGGCCTACTCAGTAGCGCAAAAAGTTATATAACTTTCTCAACATTGAGTTTCAAATATTTGTGTAATTCCTTGTAAAGTGTCGTAGGAAGTCAAAGGCTTAAAAATTTGTTTAGAATACCATTCTTAGTTGCGAGAGTGTAAATCAACTACTATTGTGAATTTCTTTGACTGAGTTTGAATATTACATTTGCAATTTTTTTGCGTTTATTTTCATTTCAAGAAGTTATAGGACTGACACCCCATTAGCTTCCTCCCACGTGATCCTTTAGACTTCATGCATTTTGCATATTTTTCAGTCAAAGGTCATATCAAGTAAGTTCATTTTTCATTCAGAAGTGAGACTGCTGTTCTGAAGAAGGGTTCTAGTTTACAACAGCTCAGATCCATTCGTCTGATTAGGTTTTAGGTTTTTGTATGACTTCCTTGTATATTAGATTTCAATAGATTTCCGATTCAATCTAGGGACGAAAACGTAAATTTGACAATAACGTACGAAATCAGTAAATGAGCATTTTACCTGTATTAGTGACATATTAATTTTTATTTGAATAATGTGTAGGTGACTAGTTTCTACTTTCAAAAACGGAAAAGATGCATTTTGAGAATTATTTCAATAAAAAGCGCATTTGATGAAAATAGACATTTTTGAAATTTTTTTGATAAGAAAAAAAAAATTGGCATCTCGCGAAGTAACGCAGAAAAAGTAGTTCCCCGTTTTTTAATTGATTTTAGCTTTAGTTGATTTTTACAAGAAACAGACATATCAAAACGTTTCTCACCAGAAAACAGACAAATCAAAAATTATCATGATGATTTTTTTGGTTGAAACAAAAGACCGTAGATCCTTTTTTCTAAATTGAGAACCAGAAAATGAGCGTTCATGATCCATCCTGACAATTATTGATTTTCGTGAAAATAAAGATCATAACATTTTAGTAAAAATAAATCAAAAAATGGACATTGCAAAGGTTTAACGGGGTAGTCTTTTTTTTTTCAGAGATAAGAAATTGAACATTTGAGTTCATCCTAGTATAAGTAGTCTTCACGATAAAAACGAGTAATTCTACATCAATGCTTAAAGTAGATTTAATGGGCATTTAGAGACTCATATTGACAACGCGGTGTTTTTTTTTTGTAAGAAATAAGAGGTTGTACATCGTTTTCTTGATTGTTTTTCATGATTTTCAGCAAACAACTAGGTACAGACATTATATTATACAAAATCAGTGCGTATATAAGGTCTTTGCTAGACGTTGTTGTTTGTAATCCTAATCCCATTGTGCTAGACTCAGACCAGCGCCCTTTAGCTTTCAGCTCATTCTCTATCAACAAGGAATCACCGCTTGCTTCATGGAACTTTCTTTCCAAACGGAGAGAGAGAGCGAACGAGTAAATAACTACCTTTTGGACTGGAAATTGAGCTCCAGCCACTTATCTACGTCAGGGATGGAGGGGGGGGGGAATGTACTCCTTGCTATATCTGAGCGAAGTTAGATTAGCCCACGTATCTTGTGCAGATTTGCTTGAAATGAACAAAATGATTGGAGCGCGCAATTGAATTTTTGAGCGAATGACGAACACACTACTCCCGAACGAGGTAAAGTAGCTGTTTATCTTCATTCTGTCCACTAAATTTACTTCCAATTCAACTTCAGGAAAACCGAATCCCAACAGGATTGCTCAATGAAATAGATAGTTGGGGGCACTCCAAAACTTTATGCATGGAGCGTGAGAGACATGAAATTTGCATATGTGCGTGTGTCGCCGTGGAGCCGACGGGGTGAATAGACGATGCGTGTTGGTGGGGATGGGAAAAAAACTAGAATATCAAATTGTTGATGGAAACTATGATATGAGATATATCATAGCAAGAAGAAAAAATCTCCCACGCGATTTATTGCACGAAATTCGTCTAACCAACAATAATCCTTGATATGCTGCAGAATCAAAAAAAAATGTCAGAGAAATACTTATTTTCGAAAATACACTCCGTGTCAACTTTGTGCTCCCTTTTTACCACCTAAATCGCAAATCCAGAGCTTCGCGTCGCGTTCGCGCACGTATAGCTTGCGCATTCAATACCAGTCTCATCGGTCGGGGCTACCACGCTAGGCCTTTGCGCTGCGGACGCGTAGCTGTCACGGAACGGGGAGCACTTGGTTGACATTGACTGTACTTTGAGAAGCATAGAAAATTAAACGGTTGGATTAACAAAGAGCTAACGAGAAATGATGTTTGATCCATAAATAAAAAAATTTCCATGCATTTTAGTGCACAAAATCGTTTTCAAATCTGTTGAGCCGCGAAATTGTTTTTTAATTGTTTGAAAAAAAAAATTATCTTCGAATATACTTCAGAAAGCATAAAAAATAGCCTCTTCTACACATCGATGGTAATTCCAAATTATTTAAAATGAATCGACAGAATTTTCAGTGGGAAGGCCCAGAACCAAAGAAACCCGTCAACTCAAAAAACATTTTCGCTGATTTTTATAAGTTTATGAAATTTTTGTAATCATTTATAGAAAACGAGAATTTTGCATCATTTTAAAACAAATTTAAACCACTTTTAAACGCAATCCCCCTCCTCCCCTACCTTTTCATTTCTAGGTCCACCACTGCTGCTTATTAGATTTGGAGAAAATACCGGAGTTTTTTTGCTCAATCATATTTTTTATGTATTCCGTTTAAAAGATTTTACACATTATTAGCCACCATAATCAACTCAATTTCATTACTTAGACGGATTTTCGTTGTTTCCATCTGTGTACATTGTCGACAGAGAGCCAAACTGGCACAAAAAACACAAAAAAATACAAAATACGAAACTACAAAAATTTTGAGGATTTGATCCCTCAAACTATCCCTAAATAATAAGCAGAAAACGTGTAGCTCCCTTTCTTCGAGTCTTAAATGTCATGAAATGTCAGAAGCCAGACATTGTAATCATTTTATCAATAAGATTAGCTCGACAATTCAATCAATACCCTACCTTTTACTCTAGTTCCCATGTTTTTCTGTAATTGTATGGCTGAATGCTTTATTAGAGCATATACAAAATGATACCTTATATTTTGCTCTCTTCCCACAAGCAAGAAAATATAGGTTTTGGGAAACTAGAGTAACTCAATTTTCCATGAGACTATTCATTTGAGTAGCCCATGAATAATTATGTTGTTTGTAATTAGGAAAAATGTGAGAAACTACGGAAAGATCCTTGTTATATGCTATTTTAGAAGGAACGTGATAAGGGACAGCATTTAAAGATGTTACATTGATATTAGATTGGTGCAAAAGTTCTGCCGCACTATTTTATGGAAATTATAACTTTTTTGCTCACACGACGGATTTGCACAAACTTAAATGTATTAGGCTATGTAATAAGTTCTGTCCCATTTTTTCTTTCGATTTTTTCTCAATATTTTGCGCGATATTCTATAAATTGTTTATATGCTTTTAAAAGCTCTAAGCCTTCTCTACTAAAACTTTCATTTCGGTTTTCTACATCAGATGACTTGAAAAAGTTTTACAGCGTCAAATTCGGAAAATCAAAAAGGGAAAAAGTCCATTTTCGACAACTACGTTACGTCGCCCTCCTAATTAGTCAGAATGCCTACGAATAAGCTCGAAGAATTTGCTACACGTAAGCAAAGAATGCTCTAGCTTCTATTGCGCTTCAGGAGTCCTGAAGCTTCTCAAAAATCATTTTTTTTGACTTTAGAAAATTCTTCTTTCTAACGCCTTTTCAACGTTGGTGGTGGGCATCATCTGAAAGCATCCTGAGGGAAGACGGTAGGCGGATCATCCAGAAAAGACAGAAGGGATGGTTCGTGGCTTCAAAATTATCGAATTCGTAGGTTAAATACTCAAAATTCCACTTTTGGGAGCCATACAGCTTGGGTACGCGGGACGCCGTGACTAAGTCTTGCCTTGCCGACTTCTTAAAAAATGTCATTAAATAGCCGGTGGAAGGAAGGGAACATGCGCAAACAGTGATAGAACAAGTGCAAAAGTCTAATAGATTGTTCTGGTTGTTGCCAAGCTTGTTTCATAAGTTTTACCAATAAAAATCGAAAAAATTTGGAGGAAAAAAGAGGTCGAAAATTGATTTTTCGGCTCTTTGGATTTTTTATTTCAACGATAAAAATCTTTTTCAGTTTCCTGCTATATTGCCAAATGATGCATATGAGCCTGTAGAGCAGACTTAGAACTTTCAAAAGTGTCGAAAAAAAAATTAAAACAAAAAATGGGACAGAACTTATTACACGACCTAATACTTTAGAGGGAAATCATATTCTGTGTGATATTGCCTTTGTTGCTCCCTAACCTCCCTAACCATAAGAAGGGGTAGCTTTTGAGATGAAAAAGAAGAAGAAAATTACTTCCACTTCAGTCATTTTTAATGGGAACGAAAATACGTGTGATAAAATTTGGAGTAGTCTGTAACATAAATCTTTTCCAC